TGAGTCTAAAGGCAGAAAAGCCTCAAGGACATAGTACAGAGAAACAAAGAAAATTCTGTATTTTTTCCTACAGAAACCCTCCCGGTACTTTGAAGTGCAGCAGTTCTGAGAAGCAAGAAAAAGAGCCGTGTGATGAGCTTGCCCGTTCTCTGCCCAACCTTGGCAAGTCAATGTCCCCGCAGAGTAGGGCATGCACGGGGGGGTCCCTTGGGCAACGCCACAGGCAGAACAGATGCCACCAGCACCTTGAGCCAAGACAAGTCATCCCAGAGCCAGGGCAGGCTGCCTGGGGCACGCAGCCCACTCCTCCCGCTTGCCAGCTGCCACCCAGCTGACGGGGGGGGGCACCCACTAATCCGACAGACAAGGGACAGTGGCCCTGCCCTGCTCCTTGTGACATGGGGGCTGCTCCTCTGTTGCATCCCCCTGTGCTGGGTAAAGAAGGGACAGGCAATATAGGCAAGTGGTTCCCTGCAGCACTACTCGGGCTTTGCCCTACCGCTGTCCCTGTCCTCCCCAGGGCTGCCATGGAGGTTTGGGATCTCCGTGGGGATTAGCAATGGGTCTGCCACCTCCACGGGCTGCCCCAGCTCCGGGCAGGGTTATACAGGCCCCCACAGCAGCAGTGATGGGCATCAATGTCCCACTCGGACCCCTGCCAGCCCCCCCACAACCCCCACGTTCACACTTCTGCCGCTCTGCACAGCCCCCCATCGCCGGCAGCGAGGCAGCCCTGCCCGCAGCAGGGTGAGGGACCTGCCCCACGCTCAGCCCCACGCCACGGGCACTGAAGGTCAAGCAGCTCGCACACAACGACCACGGCTACAAGAGGCAGCGCTGGCGCGAGCAACAGCTTCAGCCTCCTACGTGTAAACAGAGACTCCACCTTCCTGCTCACTGCTTCCTTCAGGCGTGCAGGCAGATAACATTGTCTGGCTGCGGAAAACAAGCTATCTTCTTCCCACATAAAAACAAAAATCCTCCCGATGCAGCACAAGTGATGACAGCCACCCTTCCTCTGCAAGGGCTGCCCTAAGGGACCCTTGCAGCATCCCCTTACCACCCCAGCAAGCCGCATTATAACCCCCCTTCCCCCCAGCCCAGTTTATATGAAGCTAATTGAATCAGGCACAGCTGAAATAAATCCTCATACCACTGGAGTTTGTTCTTCCCTAGCTGTTTTGGCCAGCTCAGGGCCAGCAAAACCCTGGTGCTGCCTGAAACAGGTAGGCTTTCTGAGCTTCCTTGGTGCTGGTTGTTGCAGGTGAGCTGCAGTGCAAACACATCAGTTTATTTTTTGATTTAATAACTGCTGCCAAAAGCTCTCCCGGCTCTGGGACTGGGAGGAGAGCAGCTCTCGGGCTTCAGGGCTGCAAGTGCAGCATCCTCAAAAAGTGCCACGTATTTTGTCCCTTCCCTGGCCAGTGTGCTCTGGGGCTCCCCACGCGTTTGGATAAGGCTAAAGCATTTTGAAAACTAAACAGACCAAAGCTGAACACAACAGTTTAGGGCTAGAAACTCCCCAGGGAGGGGGAGAGTGGGTGCTCCTGGGGCTGCTCGGTCCCATCCCGGCTCTGGGGTCACGCATGGATGTGAAAGTCATTGCTTTCATTTCAGAGGAACACAAAAGCCCCATTGCTACCGATAAAAGCCTGGAAATGCCACGGAAAGCACCTTAGAGCGTCTGAAAGCCCAGAAGAGGCAAAGGCTCCTCCATGGGTGACTCTGCTGTTGATGGCGATGCTGGATTTCAGCATTAATGTTAAGGGATGTGCAGCACTGGGAACACACTGCTGTTTGGGCTGTAAAGGGTCTGATCTCAGATTCTCCCAATTAAGCACATTCTCTGCTAAAAAATTGTAGCCACATGATTCCTGATGTTTCTGGAATTTTTGCAGAGATTTTTTCAAAATAGAGCCCAAATCCTGGCTTTCCTATAATTTCACAGGTCCGGTTCGCCCAGCCCCTCTCTGTCTACATGTCCCTTCACAAGGCAGAGAGTACAGGGGACGGCTCGCAGGGAGGATGGGGTCTTTCCAACCTACGCAGCCTTGCACAAGTGGTTACGCATCCCCGTGATTGCTACGTAAATACATGAGGAACCAGCATTTCTGATGTGCAGGCAGAGGAACATATGGCCCAGCGTATGCAAATGCATTGTCACTTGAAGCATAAAGCAGAGGGGTTTCTGGTGAACATTTCTGAGCAGAACAGAGGGCAGAAATGTAAAAAAAACCAGATGGCAGCAAATCAAATCCTGAGTAGATCTGCAGTATCTAGGTTACCTTAATTATGTTCAGCTAAATATGGATGCCAATTAATTAGAGGGCTGCTGATTTCCAAAGAAAATTAGTTTACTCTTAATGAGCTAATCAGTCCCTATTTAAAAAAAAAAATGAAATTATTAGACTGTACAAAGGCGTGTGCAGCCACTTGACACAGAGTGCCAAGGTCTACTCCGGCTGGGATTTACTGGGTGCAATATTGCCAGGATTTCCACACGGGGCTGACGATCCCTTCAGAACAGGTTGCAAATGGCATTGTGCTCCCTCTGCTCTTATCCCACTGGGACCAGGCTACGTTTGCCAGAAAAAAAAGGTAATTTGCTGGCAATACTGGGTTATTAGCTCAGGATTTAGGACCACGAGCAAGCGGTGTGTGGATGGGCATCCTCCCAGCTTGGGCTCAGTGGCGTGGGGAGGGAGGCAGAGATGGAGGCTGGAGCACTCCGAGTGCTCAGACAAAGCTCCTGGTTTTTCGAATATTAATGAGAGTCAAGCTGTGTGCTGCAATTAAAATGCTGATTATAATTTCTTCCATCTGTAGCCGATTCTACTCCAGAAATTAAAGAGAAATTCAGAAGAGATGTGAATGTTACATGGGGAAAGTGTCTAAGAGGAATGCCAGGGCGTGGGGAGATGGGGTGCGGAGAGGCTCGGAGGGGAGCGCTCCCCCATGCCGCTGTGGCCAGCTTTGCCACCTTCCCCTCCCGGATGGAAATCCTGGTGGGTTTGTCACCGCGACTTTGCTGTCCAGCAGCCTGACAGACAACCACCTTCTCCCCATGCACGTTGTACGTCTTCATACACGGTGTGCCTTCAAGTTACATGGGGTAGGTGCATCCTTAAGGGGAGTGAGCGCAGCTCCTCCAATGTCAAAAATGCTCCCGAGAATGAGTGACTCGGAGCCCCCATGTCCCCTCCTGCAGCCCAAGAGCCGTGGGGCGAGGGAAGGGTGCCCAGGGATGGGATGCTGGTACCAGCTCCAAGCTGCTGGTCCACACGCTGGAGCACCAGCGGGAGAGCAGCAGCAGCAGTGCGACCGTGGTACCCTGTGGCAGTGCCCTGCGCTCAAGTTTCAGCAGCAAAGCAAAGCAAAGGTAGTATTTATTTCATGTTCAAGGTCGCTGCTGCCCAGCTTTTCCTCTAAGAGACGCAGCTCTGCGTCTGCTATGGGGATGAGTGCTCGGCCAGGAGCTGCTGCTGCACACCAAGTGCAGTCCCACGGGGCGGCTTCTGAAGCATCAGCTGAATTTACAGGAGTTTAAAATTGCATGAGCAAGAGATGTGCGGATTCACGTGGGTACTCACGCAAAGAGCTGGGCAAAGTCTTAGCTGGGGAAGCAAAAGCCCAGCACGGTGGGGAGAACGGATACATGCTGCAAACAGGATTGATAGCGCAGAGGTGTGTGCATCGCTTCTGCCGTGCAAAGCGCTTTAGACAGGTAGAGCTGTAAACCGAAGCCCAGAGCCCTCTGCACAGCACATGGCTCCTGGGCATTGGCTACTGGTAAGGGGCTACGGCTTGGTGGTGGAGTCTTAAAAATAAATCTTGTCTGAGGTGGCATCTGCTGCAGTGCACAAAGCAAAAGCCCCTGGGGTTTTGCAACAGGAAAATTGGGTGCACAGCCGTGGTCTCCCTCTCAGGCTGCCCAGGGTGTGAAATTTGAGGGCTAAGATTATACAGACAAGCTGAAATAAAGGGTGTCCTGGTTTCGGCTGGGATAGAGTTAATTTTATTCCTAGTAGCTGGTACAGTGCTGCATTTTGGATTTAGTGTGAGAATAACATTGATAACACACAGATGTTTGAGTTGTTGCTAAGCAGCTCTTATCCTAAGTTAAGGATTTTTCAGTTTCCCCTGCTCTGCCAGCAAGCAGGTGCACAAGAAGCTGGGAGGGAGCATATCCAGGACAGGTGACCCGAACTAGCCAAAGGGATATTCCGTACCATAGAACATCATGCTCTGTGTATAAACTGGGGGGAGTTGGCCGGGGTGGGGATGGATCGCTGCTTGAGCATCAGTCAGTGGGCAGTGAGCAATTACATTGTGCATCACTTGTATTTTCTTGGATTTTGTTTCTCTCTCTTTTTGTTATATTCCTTTTCATTACAATTATTATCATTATATTTTATATTATTATTGTTATTATTATAGTTTAGTTCAGTTTAGTTATTAAACTGTTCTTATCTCAACCCACGAGTTTTACTTTTTTTCTAGTTCTTCTCCCCATCCCATGGGGAGTGGGAAGGAGTGAGCAAGGAGCTGCATGGTGCTTAGTTGCTGGCTGGGGTTAAACCATGACAAGGGCAAGGACCTGCTACCTGCTCGGCAGGACAAGGGGCTCCACAGGGACTCCCTTGCTTTCTGGGAGCTGCATCAGTGAAATACTGGGGTCACAAACCTGCGTGGCCTCTGCCACTGAGAAGGGGCAGGGTGGAGGTATGCCCACCACCCGCCCTGCCGGCACGTGCTCACTGAGAGATGCCAAAAATGCTTTTAACAAATGTTTCATTTCCTTCCTAAAGAAAAAACTCAATTCACTAAGGCAGCTGTAAATCCTCCCTTCCCCGCACCAGAAAACCCCAGTAAAGGACAGCAGAAGCTTCAACGCATCCTGCTGCAGGAAGGGATTCCCAGGACGGAGAGTGCATCCGCACACCCGCCCTTAGGGACCGGCTCCGGATCGGAGTCACCTCCGCCAGGGCCAAACCTCTTACCTGCTCGAGGGGGATGACGAGGAAGGACCCCCCGCCGGCGCTCTCTGTCACGATGGCAAGGAAGCGGGCGTTGACAGCGCAGAAGTGGTTGTCGTGGACATTCTTGGTGATGGGGATGCCATCGAAGCAGTGCTCCCGGCTCGCCACCTTCCCGTAGACATTCCGAAACTTGGAGCTGCGGTACTGCGGGCGCCATGACATCTGCGGGGCAAACGCAGAGGGCTTAGCCTTCCAAAAATACCCCACCTGGGCTGTTTCCCAGTTGCTTTCTAGTTTCCAACCTGTGCTGCGATAGGGATTTTGCCTGACAAGGCACAGCAGTATCAGGGCAGTCCAGATCTGCAAATATAACACCCTTGAAAAAATGTTAGATGTCTCCCTGGTGCAAGGTACAGCTCACAAAAGGCATTAAAAGGCTCTCTACTATTGCAAAATTTAAGCTGATCTCTTTTTCAGCATGAACTCCTTATCTAGAACACACAGCACTACTACTTCATGTGCATATGACAAATGAATTAAGGCTTTTAATGCGACGACTTGGAAATGGATTAGTCTGGACCACATGAAAGCATGCATCAGGGCAGAATAAGAGCACTTAGGCAGGGAGTGAGCATCGGAGAGTTGGTACACGATGCGTTCAGCTGTCTCAGCTTATTTTGCACGGGTGTCCCTGCGTGGGCTAACCCACAGCATCGCAGAAGCACTTGCAGGCTGGCTGCCGTCGCTGCCAGTGGTGAGATGCTCCCAGGCACCCGCAAACTGATCCCAGCGGACCAGGGATCCCAAGGACCCCCTAGCTCATCCTACTTCCCCAGAGCAAGTCCAAGCACTGCAGATGCATGCACAGAAATGAGTGTGCTTTCACTTGTCCTCACTACTTTGCTTTTTCTAAGTAAAAAAAAGGACTGCTCTTTCCAGTTCGCTCTTCTTTTGAACAATCCTTACGATAGCACAAGTGTCCATAAAATCTATAAAGATTTAAGGCACTTTGAGTGTGCAGAGGAGCATAAGCGTTTAAGCCACGTTAGAGCAGCATAAGTACTCAGCTCTATCCAAACACAGGGTAATTGCATGCCTGAGGACTCGTAGCCGCTCGCGTCTTCATAACCAGCATCTATCGACAAAAGCACGTAAGTGTGTACTTAAAACACTGGGTCACCTGCTGAGAGCATCTCTCGGTGCAGGGCAACACCACAGAAAACACTCCTGTGGCTGCTCTAATCCTAAATAAATCCAAGTCCCTGCTTCCCAATAAACTCAACACCATGGGCACACCGTTGGGAGCAATGGTGGGTTTGAGCAGTGTCTCCTGAATAGGAAAGGGGAATGCTTTAAGACTGGAAGCAGTAGCGTTTCCATCTCTAACTTTTATAAACAAGCTCATTGGCTTAATTCATGGCGATGGGGCAAAAGGCAGAGGGAGGAGCAGCAGAGGGTAATAGCCTGCACCATGCATTATCAGGATGATGACATGGGACATGTTGCAGTGACATCGTGCGAGCAGAGCCCCGGCTGTACCAATACTCCTCGCAGCATTCAACGCCCTGCCTGCAGGAAACCTGCCTGTAGGCAGAAATCCTGTGCAAGGATCCCACTGCGCTGCCTTCACCCACCCATCACACCCAAAATCCCAGCTGTATTTTCCATCTCACCAGCAGCACATATGCTGGGAGCATCCTTCTGAGGATGCACGGCAGCACCGGGGCTGCCCGTTTGCCATGGAGACGATGCTGCAATCCCCAGGCTGCAAGGAAAAAGGACACAGATCCTTGAGGATTTAACCCGGAACGACAGCAAGAGACATTTTTGGCTGGAAAGGTTTCTGCTCTGAAAAAATGCAGACTCACGTCCAACAAAGCGCTGTGAATCTTTGCCAAACCTACCCAAGCGGTCGGAGCCAGGCAGGGCAAGGAAAAACACCCCGACCACAGCCTGAGGAGTGGCTTTCAAGAGTTACACTAAATCCTACACTTTCCTTTGTCTGAACAGATCAGTTTTCATAGCGAAATTGATTTTTTTATAATGGTAAAAAAGCACTAAAATATATTTTGATATTTTTTAAGCTCTCGATTTGTTCTGTGACCCCAGGACTTTGACTTTGCTCTCATTTCTGCCCTCTGTGCCCCTCTGCTCCAGACCTATTGCAAAAAAAGCCCCAAATTCTACTGAAAGGGACACTTGCCCAATCCTTCCCCCACTAAACTTTTCAGATGCCTTGTAGCGTATCCCCACACAGGAGAAAACCCACAGACCCCCCTCCTGAAACTCCTCCTGCCACGTGGGAGGTAGCAGAAAAGGGGCTCTAAATATTTTCTGCATCCAGAAATTCAGCTTAACGAGTCACTGCCAAACAAAGCCCCAGCACAAATGAGCTCCAAGCAGCCCAGAGATGTGATTTTACCCTTGACGTGGCTCCTCGCGCGTGTGCTATGGATGCTCCCTACTCGCCACGGTCCCCAGACACAAGAGCGATGCTGCTTCCAGGACCTCACCACTTTTGCATCTCTCTTTTTTCCAGCCCTCCCTGTTTTATTCTTTCATCAAAAACTGGGCAAGTCTCCACTCAGCCCCCGCCACGCCGGGAGGAAGCAATAAGCTTAAGTGCCTGTTTCGCTCGAGAAATCCAGAGTTTCTTTCCCTTAACCTCAGTCAGTATTTCCTGTAAACAGCGTCACATCGCCCTGCGGCCCCAGGGACGCAGACAGCCCGGAAACGCCGGCAAAAGCCCCGGCGAGGGGCTCAGGGCTGTCCAGAGCCGGCATTGTGCAGCGGGCGGCTCCCGGCTGGGCCCTTTCCTGCACATTTCTGGGTTTGGCAGCCGGCGGAGGCTTTCCCGCGCCAGAAATAGCTCCCTGTGCCGCGTGGGAGAGCTGGGAACCTGGGGGGGGCTTGCAGGGGTCCCAGTCCCACCGGCTGTGGGGAGCATCAGCCTTCGGATGGAGAGGGTGCTGCGGTGAGGGAGGAGTGGGGAAAAGCAGCTGATGGGACAGTTTTGCACCAACGGGAGGGTTTGGGTTGAAAAATAAAGAGCTCAGTGTCCTTTGGCCGTTCATCTGGTTCTGAAGCAGGCTGCTCCTGCCGGCGTTGTGTCCCGTCACTGCAGCAAGGTGCTCAAGAGGTGGGTGGTCAGGAAAAGTCCACTTTCAAAACATCATCTTTGTGTCTGGTCCTTCAGCAGATGGCTGTGTTCTCCAGCTGGAAAGTGTCCTGCGGAAAGCAGCGTCTTGCTCTGCACTGCTGTTCACACCTCTGGGTTTGGAACATGGAGGTGCTGCCGGCATCGAGGGGATCTGCCCAGCCTGGGTTGCCACGCTCTGCCTGAAGCCCTTTCCCTGTGGAGCCCACTGGGCCGCAGGAGGCATTACCCACAAATAAAAACCTAGAAAGATATTCTGGCTGAAAAAAATGACCAGTTTCCCATTGCATTATCCCATTTGGGTGTTCTTATGAGTGATGTTTCAGTTCTGGATTGATGAAAACTTCAAGTTTCCAAGCAGATGCCAGCTTTATTTTTCCATTTAATTTTATTATTTATTCCTCCACTTATTCATCCCCACTATATATACTTCAACCTTCTCTTTGAAGCTAGTGTCTGCAGGCAGGCACATCTCATGGGGCTTCCAAGCATCCAGGGGATGGGGGAAGGAGCAGGAGCCCTTTGGTTTCTGCTGGCAGCCCATGATGGCTGCAGCACTGAGTCCATGGCAGCGCTGCCAGGGACACCCCGGCTCCAATTTGGAAAGATTTGCCCGGCACCCAGGATGTGGACAAGAGCACAAACCCACACGCAAGGCCACCAAGGGACCTTAGGGATGCCAGGAGGAAGAAAGTCAATGAAAAACCAACGTGCAAAGTATGGTGCACCGCCCTTGCACTGCAAACATGGCTGCCGATGGGTTGCACATGGGAAGTCTTCCCAGCAAAATACATGGTTTCACAAGAAACACCACTTTATGATGGAAAACTGTTCAAAACATGTCAAATTTTCTAGCCGGGAGGATGAAAATCTCTTATCCCACAGCCTCTGCAATCCAGGGTGGAGATATAGTTTCAGATGGGAAATAGTTTTGTTATTTACTTATTTATTTTCCCTTCACATGCTGCTTTGCAGAGTCCTTCGCTCCCCGGGGTTTCCGGGCTCAGAGGGGGCACGCTGGAGTTCGGCGCTCGACAAACATCCTATTTCCTGGCCAAGCAAGTGAAGGCTTTTGAAGACGAGGAGGGGATGGAGAGGAGGGGGGATGCAGGGATGCTTCGGACACTGGTGGGACGCAGCTCAGCACTCCCCTCCGGCGCTGAGTATTTTGCAGGTGGTGCTGACGTTTCCCAAGCGGGGAGGAAAACAGCCCCTTCCCCAAAGGAGTTCGACTCAGGCAAGACAAAGAGGGAGAGGAAAAACTGGAAAAAGTCACCCAGCCACGGTCCCAGGCCAGCCCCTCTGCCCTGCGCTTCCTCCCGGGGGGGACAGCAACAGCGACCGGGGGCTTTGCACGGGTGTTTGCGTGTGGAGACCAAAGCGTCTCATGTCCCACGGGGTGTGGGGAGAGATGTCCGTCACCTGGCCATGATGGCATTGTTGTGGCAAGCCCTCCATGTGCCAGGGGACAGGAACCTTCCCCAAAACTTAAAGAGAAACATTGCATTTGCTGTCTTGCCCTTGAATTTAAACCCTTGCTCCATCTGCATTTCAGCAACTGTGGAAACAAATGGCATTTCAAACTCTTGGGGATTTTTGTTCCAAATTTCCTTTTTCTCCTCACTTACAAGCTATTTGCAGGGTTTTGACTTGAATTTTGCAAAATTGTGTCTGTTCAGAACCTATCGTTTTCATTGCAGATTATTTTCCCCCTACGAATACCCTTCTCTCTGCTCTAGAACACAAAAATGAAAAAAAGAAACTCAGGGTGAGTCAGGGATGCTTGAGAGCCCCTCAGCCATCACCCTGCAGCTGACAGGCATGCTGCTGCCGGCTGCTCTCCGAGAAGATGCAGGATGCTGGAAAACAAAAAAATCTGCTAATTCTAATCTGTGTGCCACTTGCCCTTGTGCACTTGCATAAAGCTGCAGATGTCCCTGGAGCCCTGGTCAGCCCCAGGTCAGATTGAACTCCCAGCAGCGAGGGACCAGCGCCTGTCACCATGCAGTGTGCCACATCCAGCAATTCTGGAAGTTATTATCCAAAGCATTTGCTATCCTACAGTATGTAATTTTTATGAAACTCACTTTCTGAGTAATTCTCTACATTCTGCTGATGCTAATGGGCATTTTTATTTTTCCATCACCTCACTCTCAATGGCTCAGAGGCATTAAAAAAAATTATTGATTTATTGGAGTCATTTCCATCCACCTCCAGAATTGGACTAATGTGCCACCATTTCCAAGGTTCATTCTAGTTCTGCATTATTCTTGGACTCTGGTTTTTCCTTTCATTACAAAACTCCTCCCTTGTTTTAGGTTGAGCAGAACTTACAAGAAAAAGGAGAATATTGTAAAGCACTTTGAAGTGAGGCAATAAAATAAATCACATCCCCAATCACAACATTCAGCATTAACATTAACCTCATGAAACAAGCAACAGCAAAGAAATTCTCTGCTCCACTCTGGTGTTTTTAGGCTCATTGCAATGTTTTACTTATTTAAGCGCTTGAGGGGAAGAGCATGTCCCAAAATCCCAAGCTGGAAGGTGGAAAACTCTTTGGCAACAACAGTTAGAGCAGAAAACAGGCGTGCTGGGAAGCCCTGAGCAGGGATACAGGCCAGTGCAGAGCATCTCTATCCCCTTCCTCTCCTTGCCCTGCTCCCCCCAGCAGCCCGGGGGAGGGGAAGGCCAGGCAGCACTGCCATCCTGCTCCTCCTCTCCGAACAAAAGAACAAAGCAGCTCATTGAGGTTTCATAATCGGAGCAACCATATCTGTCGGCGCCGAGCCGGGCACCGAGGCTGGGGGGAACATCCCTCGTTCAGCAAAAATATTTCATTGAAGGAGAAATAGAGAGCAGCGCCAGACTGTTTTCTGTGTGTCATTGCATTGGTTGTGGTGCTGTTCCTCAAAATCAGAGGAAAACACACAGACCTGAAGGTGGGGAAAGGCCCCAGGGACAATATTATAGGCAAGGAGCCCGGCGTTTGCAGCGCCGGGTGAAGCCTGCCGCGCTCCCTGGCACCTTTGCAGAGTTGCATTAGGATCTTGCTCTGTCCCTGCTCCACTGCAAAAGCAGATATGGGGAGAAGACGGGCAGGAGCATGCAACGTAGGTCGGTTAGCAAGAGATTTTCCATATACGATAGGGCTGGATTAAGGTGACGATGCTGTGGAGCGGCTGCAGCCCCATACCAGGGAAGGGACAGGCAAGTTTTCCTCTCTGAGAGCGCGGGCTGCTCTGTGCATGGAGGTTGCAGAGAGCTGACTTCCCTCTTTTTCCCCGTCTATCCCAGGAGCTGCAATATTGCATCACGAATCACAGGGCTGACACAGGAGCAAGAAATGGAGGCATCCGTTTCTTGGATGGAGGAGCTGATCCAAGCGGCATCCGCCCTGATCCGTGGGAGCGGGGAGCTCCGCGGGACGAGATGCAAAGCAACCCTGCAGCTGCAGAGGGGTCAGAGCTGCCCTGTCCTGGGCAGCCTGCGAGCTCCTGCTCCTTGCAGGGTGGGGAAATAAGCTTTTAAGTGGGTGTCTCAGACTGCCATTCAGTTTTACAGCAGAGAGCAGCTTCAGGAGCAATTGCATTAAAAAAAAAAAAAACAAAAAACTTTTTATTTTGCAGGTTTTTCTCTAGGATGAAGGACTGGTACCCACCCCGCAGCCACCATCAGCTGGGCAGAGCAGATGCCATGGGGCAGGCAGATCTGACCTGCGTGTCCCAGAACCACACACAAAACCCAGGAGGACCAGCTCTGCCCACATCCCCCTGGGAACAGCACTGCCATTCGCCTGGAAAAAAGAAAAGGAACCAAGAAGCAAAAACTCAGCACCTCTTTGGAGGCTTTTCTGATCTGCTGGCAGCTCCAGCCTTTGCCTACCAGCAGCAGCAGGACACAGCTCTTGTCTCAATGTGTTTATTTTTAAATGCATCTTTTCAAGCATCGGGAGTCTTGGCAACAGCAGCCGGGAGGGAAAGCTTGCGCAAAGAGCCCCTAACACTGCAATAGGCAGTTACACAGCACAGTGGACTGTAATCCCTAAAAAATCTGTATATCCTATATATAACAGCGTTTAATCTGCCTCAGTCATGAAAGCTTTCAGAGAAATGAATTTCTGCTTTCACCTGTACGAAGCAGTCATTTTGGGGGGGTGGCAATCCACACCCCCCCCAGCCCCAGCGCAGCGGGAACCCTTTCTCCTTTGCACTGTGCCCTCCAGCAGCATGCCAGCAGGGTGACAAGGGGGCTGTGGCACCTACAGCAGATCTTTGGGTTGCTGTGATGGCACATAACATCTCCTATGGCCTCAGAGAGGTTTTTAATGGGAAACCAGTGCTCTTTCATCGTGACCGTCTGACTTACTGTTCTGCCCATGGTTAAGTATCAGGGTTATGGCTGACTAGCATGAAAAAGATATTTGCATGAAAAAGTGTGTTGGGAAAAGGAAATGCAATACTCATTGTTTGCCTAGAAAATCTGGGGCTTCCAGGAGGGATTTTGCAGCACTCCAGGAGACAGTGCCTTTCCAAAATCACATTATTCCCTTTTTTCTTGCCTCCTCCTGGCACAGGCAGAGGTTCTGGCGAGCATTCCCCATCTGGGGCTTTCCAGTTAAAGTCAAGGCACGGTTTTGTACGAAGAAAACCAAATACAACAGAAACCCACCCCCTCACTGCCCCTGTGCCTCCCTTGCATGGGGTTATTTTCCCTCGCCCCTCTCCGGAGCCAACACATTGCCTGCACATCCCTGGAAGCCGCTGGGCACAAGTTATTTTCCATCAGAAAGGTCAGTGGTGCTCGAGTTTGACATTTCAAGTATCGATCAGCCATTAAGGCAATGAAGTGTTACTGGGCAAAAACAAGAGCTGCTTTTCCGCAGGTCTTAACCAAGGAGATGGCTTCATCTGTTAGAAGCACAGGGCTGCCTGATCCCACCCTGCCCTTGCCCAGGGACACTCCTCACAGCTCCCTTGTGCAGAGAGCAGGGAAGAAAACATCAAAATAGTTCTCCAGGGCTTATTTTGGAGGAAAAAAGCCACTACCAGACTCACTGCCATACCACACTCCTGAGCACCCTGCCACGTGCCTTCCAGCACAGAGCCATCATCCCCAAAGTCCCCACGAGGCAAGCGCAACCCTGCTCTGCTCCTGATGTTCCTCCGCACCCGCTGAGCATCAGCACTGGGGGATTTAGGAGCCTCGTGGCCGAGGGGGGATTAAACCCCTTCCCAAAGGACATGGTATGTATCGGTCATGGACTTGAGTGGGAGCCCAGGTCCCACAACAGCCAGGAGCAGGGGACGTGCACCTGCGAAGCCCTGGGCTGAGCAGGCTTGTGCTCGTAGCCTAAATCAACGCTGGCAAACAGCAAAACACTGTCCCTGCAATCACTAAGTGGTGGGGGAGGCGCCGCAAAGCCACCTCCTTGCCCCAACCCTATCCCCGCTCGCTTTGCTTGAGCAAAGCCAATATTTTTTTCTACTCGGAGAGGAAAATGCACAAGCAGGAGCTGGCAGAGCTGCTGGCGGGCTGTGGCAGGACTGTGTCACCCCAAGATGTGTCCTGCCCAGGCTCCTCCAGACACGGAAGAAGGGATCTGCTCAGTGCATGCCCAGTGCGTTAGCAAAGCATGTACGTAGGATTGATGCTGCTGGAATCCACTCGCTAAAGAAAAGCCTGAAATTAAACAGCTATATTTTGATAAGATACTCAGCATTGCCAAAATTAGTCATCAAATGCTTATTGTTCCATGCACATTAGATTAGAGCCAAACAAATGCTGATTTTAATCTCTCCAGTACTCTAATGCTCTGATGCTTCTCAATTCAACCTTGAAAACGGCTTTTGTTCACATTAATGGCTTTCATGCTAACGAGGCTCGGTAAGATTTAACATTTAGGCACATCCCGCTCTTCATTTTAATAACAATTCCACCACAGTGAGCAACACATGTTCGCAGTGTGCAGGCATAATTCAGCCACCAAATATGTCTGAAAGTCCAGATTCAGCGTTGCTGCAGGATTGATGCTTCAGCCAGGGCACCCGGGCGCGTTTGCAGCCCGAGCTTGACTTAAAAGCAGTCGGGCTAAGAAATGCCGAGTCTCCGCTGTAAATTAAGTGGTTTCTCCCATGCCAAGGGACCTTCAGAGCAGAGCCAGCCAGTTGGGCTCTTGGCTTGCTTGGGCTCAGCTGCTGTTTCTATGCATCTCTCTGTCCCAGCCTTATTAAAATGCCCTGCGCGGGACACTCACCAGGCTGCCGTGCTTGCTCCCCAGCACGCTAGACTTGTGGAGGTCTCTCATTGACTCGACAAGAGCTCTGTGCAGAGAGGGAAAGCAAAAACATTCAATTCACCATCCCAGGAGGCTGAGATAAAACACACAAACCCTTCCTGCTTCTCCGCGCCGCAGTGTTGGGCAATGCATGGCAGGATCTGACCCCCACAGGGCTGCTCCCGGATAATTTTTGCACGAGCCAGAGCATCACCAGCGGCAGGGCACAAGGCTGAGCCCCCCGAGCCACCGGCAGCAGCCATCACACCGACCCCCATCTCCTCTTCCTTGGCGACTGCCAGCCCCCTTTAGGATAATTACGCATCGCCGCCTACTTTCTTCTAGAGAACAAACTAACTCCAACACAAATAGGTTTTGCTCCTGAGACCGTTAGCAAATGGAAGCATTTACGTACACGGCACATTACCTGACTCATACCCAGTTAACATGCTCATTAACCTGTCCAGAAACCCTGGGATCAGCAGCGGGATGTAAAGCAACATCTATTCATACACATAAGTAAAGTTTGCTGGCGAGTCAGCTGCTTGCTCAGAGCCCCCAAAGCACCGGTGTGGGCACGACCACCCCTCGCCTGCCACAGCCAGGGCAGGATCCGGCCCCAAGCTCCGCATGGGGATGGCCTGCCATGGCAGCGGGGCTGCGGTGGCTGTGACAGGCAAGGGGCTGATCCCCTTCTTTGGGGAAACACAGAAGGGAGAACACTATTTTGCTAGACATTTTCAGTGCAACCGGCTTTTGCAAGCACCAGAAATGGGGGGGGGGCACGCTGAGCCATGGGAAAAAGCTGTTTTGCACACTGCCATAGCACAAACTTTTAAAATGGTACATTTTCAAAGGCTTCAATTTTAGAATTTGTGCTTCTCTGCAAGAAGCCCTTGCGTGAACTTTGAAAAAAGGCAGTTTGCATGAAATCCAGCATAGGCTGATGGACACAGCTTGTTGACACGTTCCCAGCCCGTTTCCCCCCGAGGAGCAGCCCCAGGCATCAGGGACGTTGGCCAGAGCCCCGCACACCTGTACCAGGCTGACAACATGCAGCAACACAGCAGCGATGATGATCAGAGTCCCGAAACCAAGTCCTGCCGGCCTGAGAAAGTTACAGGGGCTGGAGGGGAAGAAGGGGTTTAATAGTTGTATGAGGTCAGTTCAGGATTATATACCGACCACTAAAAAGCAGATTATGGATATTTGTGAGGCAGGAAAAACAGCACATTCCATTACAGAATAACTATGTCGATAATGAAGAATAAAGCTCCCCATTAAGCCTCCATGCAGTTATTATGGTTTGGATGGCTCGGTAGATGACTCCAAGATAACATCAGCGATGCCACGGGACCTCATCCATCTCCCGCTGCTGCGAAAATGCGGTGGCTCCCGGGCTGGGGCCCATCACAGCTCTGCTCCCCCCCAGCACCGGTCCAGCTGAACCCCTGCCCCGGGGTCTCATGCAGACCCGTGCAAGCCCCTCCGTGGCTGCCCACAGGCACATAGTCCCAAATGCCATCAGCATCCTGAAGGTGCTTTTACCTTCAGATCAAGTTTTTCCATGCATGTTTCGATCCCTCAGTAAAAAGTTTATTATACACAACCCAAATTAATTATAAATGTTCAAGAACAGAGAAAAGAGTCTCCTCCTTGGGAAGTTTTCTTCCCCATTCTGATATAGGTTTGATCCCCATGAAAAGCTGAAGGCTGATAAGCAATTGCATATTTTTTGCTTTATTGACCCAACATGGAGACCCGGGGCACCGCGCCAGGCAGAGGTCAGCAGCCTTCAGTGCCACAGGCACGCTAGTCCTCACCCTTGCCAGCTGACGCCGCGCGAGGCAGCGTCCCTTGCCGTGTGCCCACAGCAAGATGAGGTGCCATCGGCCCCCTCTTCTCTTGGGGGGAGAGGTGAATCAGCCATGCAGGGAGAGGGTCCTCCTGCTTCCGTCTCACCCCACCAGCTCCATTTGCACCGTGTCCTGCCGGGACGTGGTGCTGGAGTGTCTTTCCCATGGCTCGTGCATGTTCATACCACTGACAAGAGACCCCATCCTCCCCATCCCCACCAGCCCTTTACACATACACACTCCACGGAGCAGGGGAGAGCCCTTCAGCCTGCTCTTGACAACACTTTGGAGACGCAAATCCTACAACAACCAGCAGAGCTCCTTGTTTTCTCCTTATTTATGCATCTGGCTTATGGCACAAACAGCTGGAGCGGCAGAGGGAAGCTGAGCAAATGGCTTCAGCTCTGTACCCAGCCGCAGGAAACACCTTTGGGCTCTAATAAACACCGGAATAAATGCACTAAGCAGGGCCTCAAAAAAGAGCATGTTCCTATAAAACAGGCTGTCATGTTCCCAGCTCCTCCGTCCCGCTGGGCTTCGCCCTGCCTGGCACAGCTGGACAGCAGCAGTGGGGACGAGCTTGCAGACCACATGGCAAAGCTAAAAACTTTGCTGGGGGGAAAACGGAGGTGCTGGGGGTTGGTGTGGGGTGTAGCTCAGGTCTCACCCCATCCAGCACCTCACCAGCAGCTCCCTACCAGCAGCAGCAGCCCAGTTCACAGGGGGATGCTGCCAGCCCGTCGGAGGGCTGTACACTGGTACGTGGGACATCCGCAGCATGGGCTCAGCAGAGCCCCCGGAGCACACATTGGGTTAAGGTTGCATTAAAAAAAACAGACTTGGGGTTTGATGCTGAATTCACCGAGCCCTTACCTGCGGGGTTTTGCATTTGCCTGTTTGCTGGAGAGAACAATGAGATAATGGATTTAATTGCCTTGTAGCGCAGGAGCACCAGCGCTGACGTGGCCTGGCTGCTTCCTTCACAGGCGGGCTGGCACCAGCAGCTCCTGCTGTGCCCCAGGAATGTGCCCCCCACCAATGAATCCACACACCAAACCTCTCTCCCCCGGGCAGGGTCGGCAGGGGAGCGGGATGGACACTGCTGACACCGAGTCCGATGGCGAGATACAAGCGCTACGGGAGCGGTGGCTTCGCTCAAGGGGTGTATTTGGGCTGCCCCACGCTCAGCCGTGAGCAAAGCAGCAGCACCAGGGCTGCCGTGAGGCTCTGTGAGATGATGTCCCCCTGCGAGGAAGTCACGTTTGGGCAGAGGAGAGACCAGGGACACCAGGCAGTCATACAGCCCAGGGCAGAGCTCCCAAGGGGCTGAGACCCCCCCACCACAGCACTGCTCTGATTTGGTCCCCCCAAAGTGGGGCTGAGCTGCCAAGAGCCAGAGCAGATGTCTGCTTCTGCACCCATTGGGGCAGTGGGTGCACCCCAGCTGCCTAACGGTGACCCCGGAGCAGGGGGTGGGGGGGCCTGAGATGGGATTTTTGGCAGGTACAGTTCACTTTGGGAAAGGCACTTGTCCTTAGTGCACGGACAAGGAGAAGAGGCAAAGAGAGTTCTGTGTTTATCCAACTTGTAGAGAGCAGTAGATTGATTTTACAAATATTAAGGATTAATCCCATTAATATGGTCTAAACAAAGGACAAAAGACAGATGAACATTTCTGAAGCAATATCTGCCAGCTGAGTTTTTTCCAGCCTGGAAGGAAGTGACTGGGATTTCCCTGGAGTTCAACTTTTCAATGATTTCTTCTTTCTAGAGACCCCTGACTGCCTGGGAAGAGCCTCTCCTCTTCCCAAGCCGCTGGGAAAAAAAATCACCAAGCGAGGCCAGATGTCTCCTGGCCATGGGGCCAGGCTGTCACTGCCAGTCCCCATCGCTCCTTGACCACAGTGCTGCTTCCCACCCACCCTGGGCACTTCACATGGTCCCACAGATGTCACGGACTGCCTGGGAACGATACATAAAGCATCCCTGGCACCAGGATTTGCGGTACCGGCAGGGGCCCCATTTTGGACCATTTTCTCCCCAGGAAACCTTCCGGGGGAGGCAAACCAAACCTCTCCTGGGCCCACGTGCTGAGAAGAAACACAAATCTCACGCTCATCAATAAATACTGTAAACAAGCAGAATTTTCCTCCCACTCTGTTTCCCAACTTCTTCCCACCCTGTGAAGCCGACGGAAACATCCTGATGAAGCACAAAGCGTTTCTGGCCCCCAGAGCTGCCCTGGGTCACTGACCACAGGATTTTATCCTCCTCCCTCCTCCAGCTTCTTGGAATAATGTTTCCTTGAGGGCAAAAATATTGCATGCTTTTTCTCAACTTCAGAGGTTTTTAGGAAACTCAGAGAGGGGAAAAAAAGTCTCTTTTCACGTGTTGAGATGAGCGGGTAACCGAGCCAGGCGCTTGTCCATGAGCGTTATTTCACATCGCATCACACGTCATCAAGAAGACTGAGTCAAGAGACTTGGTCACAACAGGTTTTTTCCAGCCAGGATCCAGCAGTTTTAAGCAGAATAAGAGGGGTTGCCTGTATAACAACCTCCGGTGGGAGGATGCCATAAATCCAACCCCTCCTAAACTCACCTGCTTTTTAATTGCAAAGAGGTGAAAAGCCACACGCACAGGTATTAAAGGGCTGGGGGACGGTGGGGACACAAGTGGCTGCCAGACCTCACGGGTAAGAAACTGCTTGGGAAGATGCTTTCGGTGCATTAGCATGAAAAATTCGGGGCAAAGAGGACTGCTGGGAGCACTAACATTTCTACTTTTGTCATAGCCTGAAAAAAATCTTTACCAAGCCCCAGCTTTGTACAGGATATGAACCATAGAAACTTATTTATCCTGGCAAATGGGACTTTTCTAAAGCAGGAAGATAGCGCATGGGTGAGCAGCTCAGACACCTCTCCCTCACTTGCTATTTTCCATCCAAAACCCCCACAATGTTCCCCGGGAATGAGCACACCGGGGTGTTCCTCGGGACATGGGGCAGCATCCCACAGCCCAGGCTCCGGTGGCTCCTTTTCCATCCCAGCTGCTCCCGCACAGAGCCATTCGCTCCTGGACAGCTTACAAAACCACAAGGGTTTTTTGGAGGTTTATCCCAGTTGGGGGCAAAAGTTTTCCAAAAGAGAAGAAGGAAAGAAAACAAAAAAAAAG